CGGCGGCGGGAAATGGCTTGTCAGTTTTGTCAGGTTTGTCAGTCGGCTCCTCGGGGTCTTTTTGGTGCAGTTTGTCTACAAAAACGCGTCAAACATGCAACCTGACAAACCTGACAAACCTGACATCTGCTTCCCGGACCCCGACACGGCAATACGAGTCTTCAGGGAGGGGCAAGACGACGGGGTTGTCAGGTTTGTCAGGTCTGTCAGACGGGGCTTGGGCGGGGATTTGGGCTTCTGTTACAGCAAAACTGGCCAAACATGCAACCTGACAAAACTGACAAAACTGACAGTCCCCAGCCTGGCCCCGGCGAGTCGAGTTGAGCTCAGGACCTGCCCGGAATCGAAGCCATAACATCTTCAGGGGGCAGGGCGGAAACAAGCTTGACATGATTCCCGGGACCCCGGCAGCNNGCAGGCAAAATTCCTTCCAACCGACTGTGTGAAAGCCAAACACGCCGCCAAGAAGTGCAACTACCGCATGGCAGAGCACGTCACTGCAACGTTAACAATGCACAAATCTTGCCTTTGTGCAGCAAATTGCGGGTCCTAGAACTCAAACATGGACCCCTCAAGACTTCAATCCGAGCCTTACGAGGCTCACATCGCTGGCTCCTGCCTGCACTGCAGCATCTCATTCGGGAGTGGGGACTTCATGAAACTGAAGATACGAACAGGCTGCATAGCGCCAGCAAATGCTTGCAGGATACTACATGCTCCAGGTTCCCTCAGGTCTACTCCAGACGCGCCTGCACATTTACCCTACATACATGCAACGCAGACAGCATGCTGAGTCAAAAATGAACGTCGTTTTGGATCACCCTGTGTCCCTGCAACTCTGTCCTCAACGAGCTCAGTCAACATCTTCACCAAGCCAGGTCAAGAGTTGTTGTAAGCCTCCCAGTAGGTCCCTTGCTGCATCTCCTTGCACCACTTGAGCTGACGGTGGCTCTTCGATGGCGCTGTCGCAATTTGGAGCTAAGAGAACACAAATGACTGATTCCACAGGCACTGTCGCGTTCTGCATCTGCGCTTCGTTCATCACCGCAGCTGCATTCTGGGCAATTTGTTCGGCCTTCACTTTGCAGGTTCCGGCATTTGTAGCTCCGGTCACATCCAACAGCACCTGACACCGGAACACACATCGAAAACAATGAACATCGCATGGCAGAAATGTGACGCGCCATTTTGGGTTGCAACTGAGCTCCGGACCAACTCATTAACTTTCGTCTTGAACCAGATGTCGAAGCCTTTGTGTGTGCCAGTCGTGCCACCTTCTGAAAGCGCGTGATATATGACACCATGCTCAATGCAGCGGATGCCGCCAATGCTGGGTGTTCCGTTCTTTGTGAAGACTCTGGCGCTCTTCCCATTCAACTGCTTG